TCCCGTATTTATAAGGAAGTCAGACATGTTTGTTGCTAACATTCCTTCCGTGGATTGCACGACGGCTGAGGGCCAAGACTTCGTCTATCCTAATCCTGGCCGGAGTGTTGCAAATGGAGAAAAGGCAACGCCAGGCAACAAAATGAGTGGCTCAGCATGTGCAACCTCGAGCAAGCCTGGTGCTGGCGAGGGAACTCCCACGCAACCAGAGGCTCCGGCCCAGTCCTCAGCTGCCAGTGAACAACCCGGTGCTCAGCCGCCTGCCTACTCCCCTACCCCCATTGAGTCTGCCGGTCCCATCTACTCAGCTGCTCCCATTGAGTCTGCAGCCCCTGTCTACTCTGCAGCCCCCATCAATCCTGCCGTCCCCGTCAAGTCTCCCTCTCCCATCGGGCCAGAAGACTCATCCAAGTCCGACGGCGTCTCTGGCCCAGGAGCACCCTCATCTCCTGCTGCGCCGCCCAGCAGCCCTCCCACCTATGGCAATGTCCCCACAAACAGTACTCCCTCTAGCGATGGTGAATGCACTCCTTGCAGTAATGATGGGGCTGTCGTCTGCATTGGCAACAGCCAGTTTGGCATTTGCAACCGTGGCTGTGCCGTCGCCCAGGACCTCGCTGCTGGCATGTCTTGCTCCGATGGTGTCGTGGTCTCTTCGACCAAGCGCTCCGTTCGCTTCCCTCGCGCCCACCTCCACCGTCACCTTCACCGTCGACACGGCATGTCAAGCCTGCTATAAAGTCTTCATTAACCGCAAAATAAGCGTATCACGATAGTGAACGACAAGAGTGATGAGTTGCATGGTAGGGAGTTCAGGAATACGGTCGGTGCACTTGTACACTAGGCACACGGATGGTTCACGATGGGTCATTGGCTTTGCTTGTTCATATCTTGTCTCGTTTGGTCATGGTTTCACTTGAAACTGGCTGGGGCATTTTTCTTATTGTCTCGTTTGTACATTCTTTCTTTCATGACCGGCCCTAGATCGGGTCGGCATGCCCTTTTTGTTTCTGTTGGGAGAATTCTGTGGTCAGCATCGTGTCTTCGAGTGTGACAAACATCACATGTACAACATGTACAAAAACAAATGAAAACACTCATTCGTTCTGCGAACGCAACCCATCTTTGCAAAATCGCTGAATTCTGCCAGTATAAATTTTTGATATTTTTCTAAGTAGTTTGAACGTTCCAAGTCAAGGACTTGGTCGCTAACTATACATGGCTTGCGACATGGCAGCGACATGGTGAAGAACAAGACGCAACAGGGAGTATTCAATCACCAGCCCTCAAGACACTTGCATCATGACCAAGACAAGGAGTCAACGTCCAGGCCTTGCATAGACCAAGATGGTATCCCAGCCAAGCAAGACCACAAAGTCATTCACCGGTTATGACGTGCGATTGGATTTGATTGGGCAGTCTCACAGGGTCAACAGCCAAGGCGGACGCCATCACCCCCTCTAGCATTTCCCACTCTTCAGCCCTAACACACGATTGCCAACATACAGCAAGCAGGCGAGCAAAGCAAACGAGAAGAAATTATCGTCTACACAAATTACTATTGAGTATTTCTGGCTTGCTCGAGAAAATAGTCAAGGACGGAGCCTCGGCCTCTGTTTCAGACGCGTACGCCACTCTCGAGTTCGGAGGTCATTGCGCTCCCGCCCCACTACCGTACCTCTCGTTGCCTTCACCTCCACATCTGCTTCGCGCACACAACTGTCGGCCCGTTCCACACCACGACACCGCCCAAGATGGAGAATAACAAGCAGGATGTCGACCAGACACAGTATATCGACAATGCCATGCGTGCAGTCCGCGAGAAGAAGCCCCTACCTGAGATTGACTTTACCCTGCACACCATGGAGGACAACACGCAAGTGAGCACCACGGAGCGTGTCTGTAAAGGTATGTTGGCCACTAAGAGATGGGGAAAGTTGCGTTACCCGCAATGCCTTTGTTGCGACCCGCATATCTATCACTATATCGTTCACTGACTCTGGTAATCGCTAGACGTTCAAGCGCCAGCCTTCAACCCGCCGACAGACGAGCAATTCTTCTCACCGCAGGATCGCACAAAGCCCAACATTCAGTTTCTCAAGCAGCACTTCTACCGTGAAGGTCGCTTGACCGAGCAGCAGGCCCTATGGATCATAAGGAAAGGCACGGAAATCCTAAAGTCGGAGCCCAACATGCTGGAGATGGACGCACCCATCACCGTGTGTGGTGATGTTCACGGTCAATACTACGATCTCATGAAGTTATTTGAAGTCGGCGGTGACCCTGCGGAAACGCGCTACCTGTTTTTGGGCGACTACGTGGATCGCGGGTACTTCAGTATCGAGGTATGACCATTTGGGAGCAGGTAGTGATGGTGGGCTTTCTGCTGACACCAACAGTGCGTACTGTACCTGTGGTCCTTGAAGATTTGGTACCCCAACACCCTCTGGCTCCTCCGAGGAAACCACGAGTGCCGTCATTTGACCGACTATTTCACCTTTAAGCTTGAGTGCAAGCACAAATATTCCGAGGCCATCTACGAAGCATGCATGGACTCTTTCTGCGCGCTGCCGTTGGCTGCAGTCATGAACAAGCAATTCCTGTGTATACACGGTGGCCTGAGTCCGGAGCTCCATACTTTGGATGACTTGAAGAGCGTACGTATAGCATGATGATGATGTGTACTCTCAGTCTGTGCTGACTGGTCTAGATTGATCGTTTCCGTGAACCACCCACCCATGGCCTCATGTGCGATATCCTCTGGGCCGATCCTCTCGAAGAATTTGGACAGGAGAAAACCAACGACTTCTTTGTACACAACCACGTCCGTGGTTGCTCGTATTTCTTCTCGTACCCTGCGGCTTGCGCTTTCCTTGAGAAGAACAACTTGCTTTCGATTATTCGTGCGCATGAAGCTCAAGACGCTGGCTACCGCATGTATAGGAAGACTCGGACGACTGGTTTCCCTAGTGTCATGACCATCTTCAGTGCACCTAATTATTTGGATGTCTACAACAACAAGGCTGCTGTACTTAAGTATGAGAACAATGTCATGAATATCCGACAATTCAGTGAGTACAAGCCCAACATGTTTATATGGGTGCATTGACTGACCTCGCAGACTGCACACCGCACCCGTACTGGCTGCCCAACTTCATGGACGTCTTCACTTGGTCACTTCCTTTTGTTGGTGAAAAGAGTACGTGTTTCAATGGATTCAGTTTTGGATGTATGCTGATAGCCTGTAGTCACCGACATGCTCATCGCCATTTTGAACACATGCTCCAAGGAGGAGCTCGAAGAGGAGACACCGAGCTCTTTGGCCTCCGGGCCTTCATCGCCTGCTATTCTCAACATGGACCCGGAATCGACCGAGTACAAGCGCCGAGCCATCAAGAACAAGATCTTGGCCATTGGTCGCCTGTCTCGCGTATTCCAAGTATTGCGTGAAGAGTCTGAGCGCGTAACTGAGTTGAAGACAGCGTCAGGTGGCCGACTCCCTGCGGGCACACTTATGCTCGGCGCGGAAGGAATTAAGCAGGCGATTCACAGCTTCGAAGACGCACGCAAGGTCGATTTGCAAAACGAGAGGCTCCCGCCTAGTCATGAGGAGGTGCGAAAATCTGCAGAGCTTAGCCGAGAGCAGGCTCTCGAAAAAGCAGCCAAAGAAGCGGACAATGACCAGGGACTTGCCACTGTCGCAAGACGCATCAGCATGTAAGATTTGAATTGTTTGCTTTTCCTCTTATGCAATCACTAATTGCCATAGGTCTTCGGGATCCAGAGGCACACGAAAAAGTTAGGTACTCTCGAGGCAATCTCGATCTCAGAGCGTGTCCGAGGTACCAGAGTTGGAGTCAAAGCAGGCCTAGGCTTACGAGTTTTGTATTGACGGGGCTAGCAATGACATGAGTATACCTATGAGGCGGGCGATAGAGGGCAAACAAGTTATGATGAACGGTAATAATCTGCTGGCCTATCCCGAAGGCTCACACGGGCTAGCTTCCTCTCAATGACAGTACTATTCCTACCATGGCCATCTTTTTCTTTGACCATGTATATATTATGAAACGCTTCCTTCCTTTCTCTTTCTATGAGTGCTTTTTAGAGGCAAGTTCACTGTCAAATATGTGCATGTTTAGTACACAGTAAGTAGGTCCGTTCCTAACCCTACATAGAGTGAACCAAAGTTCGTGCACGTGCCATGGCGGACCGAGAGACTAGCTCTGCCGAAGCTACGTCAAGTTCGACCATGGGCGAATCGACTTGACAATGTCCAATTCCCAGCCCAATGCCTCCATGGGCGGCCTTTGCGCCGCGTTCAATGAGTTTGCTGAAACGATCAGCAATTGAACAACGACTATCGCGAGCATGTCTCTGTCGCCATGTCACCCAACCACGCCTCTCCCATCCCCACCTGCGCTCCGCATCCACACAGGTTGCGCCCTCCGCCATAAATCTCCGACCGAACATCCCACGGCAAAACCAAGAATTGCATGATGCGCTTTCAGCACTTAGCAGCACTGCAGAGACTTGGGTCAATATAAGTCGACTGCAATTGGCCCTGGTTGGGCTGGTGGTGAAGGATGGGGTCACGAGGGTCGCGGTGCTAGGGTTGCAGAATCAGGTCAGCGCACAGCGGTTGGCGCGGCTACTTCTTGCAGATCCGTTGGGTGTGGAGGAGGAATGGGAGAAGGATTTGGAGAGCGCGGGGAATGGCAGCGAAAGGGCTGTACTGTTGAAGTGAGTGTTATACTATGCCTTGTGGCACAATGTACCATCTGCAAATGCTAATGTATCAATTAATGGCAGGTATGGAGAAGATGCAGACGCGCATACACCTACCCCGCTCTACAAAGTTCTCTCCGTACCGTCGCGAGTTTTGCGCACGCACAATCTGGAAATTCTTGTTTCGACACTCAATGTCCATGGTGCGAGTAATGCCACTGCTGCATCGACAGAGAGCTCTGTAGAGTCGATACTGGTTCCTAAACTGCAAGCTACTTCGGCACGAGGAAACCCAGTTCCGTACCCGGTACACAAGACTTTGATTCTTGGCGAAGGTCTGGACAGCGCAATTGCATTCGGCCGCTTCTCAGCAGACAGCGCCAAAGAGCTGGATGGCATGGTCAAACTCGCCATCAACCTTCCAGCGCCAGCAGAAGATGCTGTACCCGATGTACAAACGACCAGTGCAGCAGTCAATATTGAAACGGGCGCAAAAGCAATTGCCACCTTCCGTGACTCGATACAGAATTCAATTGCGTACGAACATGGCTGGTTCCGCTCTGGTCTCCCTGTTCTCTCAAACTGGCTCGTACAAGATTTGCAAACATCTTCTACCATCAAGCCAACCATGAAGGCCCTTATTTCCTCTCTCGTTGCTGATGTCGAGGCGAAGCTTGCAAAAGAGGACCTCGCTCTTCAACAGCGCCGTGCTTCGACCCCTACACAAACCGCTATCACAGCCTCGATACTCAGTCATCTTGACTCTTGGGCCGAGCAGTCACATACTGAGCTCCGTGACCAACTAGACGAGGCATTTTCTTCGCCCAACTGGCATAAACTCGCGTGGTGGAAGCTGCTCTGGCGGGTTGATGATGTAACGATGCTGAGCACGGAGATCCTCGAGCGTCGATGGTTAGTATCAGCCGAGAAAAATAGCATCTACCTCGCTGGACGAATGGAGCAAGCAGGCTTCCCAGATGACACTCGCCACCTACCTATAGTCGACACGGAAACCCCCCAGGTACCAAAGTCAGACACAGCACCAGCCCAAGGCACCGCCGACAACCACATGCCCATATCCACCCAACTCCACAACCCCAAACCCTGGCCCCAACACATTTCCACCGCCCGCACCGAACTCATCAACGACGCCGTTCCCCCGCTCCAAGCCCTAGCCCAGCGTCTCCTCCTGCAAACATTCAGCACTACCGCCATCTCCTCCGCCCTCACCGCCCTCCTATACATCGGCGTAGACTCCTTTTCCCTCTTCGAAGCCGGCGCCGTGGCCGCACTTGGATTCACGTTTTCTCTGCGCCGCATGCAGAAACTCTGGGAGGGGGCGCGGAAGAGCTGGCAGGGTACTGTGAGGGAGGAGGGTAGGCGCACGCTGAAGCGGACGGAGGAGCTCGTGAGGTTTATTATACAAAGAGCGGAAGTGAGGGGTGGGGCTGCGGGGAGTGTTAGTGATGATGGGGTTGAGGAGAGGGAGCGCGCGAGGGAGGCGGTGGGCAAGGTTCGGGAGGCGCTTGCGAGGTTTGAGGATGGGGGGAAGGATGCCGACGGAAGTGTATGAATAGATGGGTTGGGATGGTGTAAGATTTGGTAGTTATAAGGAGAATAAAAAAAATCAATTTGCTCGCATTTTGGTGCGGTTTCGGTTTTGGTTGATATTCTGGATGTAGAGTGGGGATTGGATTGTGGTGTTCTTTATATGCATATGACGAGTTTATATAGCTGGTAAGTGAGACACAGGCCAACTTTACAAGTTTTTAAATGAGTACATTCCCTTTTATTCCAATTCAATTCACTCCACAGCTACACCATCACTTGGACACTGAGGAAGACAGATTTATACGGTCAAAGGTGGACATTGGTCGGATTGAACGGATGAGATAAAAAACTTGATGCGAGCGAAGAGTATGCAAAGACTGCAACCTCACTCACTCACCCAACCTCATACACTCCCAACTCTCCGCCCGATCCACATCCCCCGTACCCTTATACCTCGCCTCCGCAGGCCACACACACAACGGCCTCTGCCGCCTAACCCCCGCGCCCACATTCTCCCCCTCAAACTTTGTACCCACGATACGTTCAGGCGCGCGCCCGTCCTCGACCCACGCCATCATCGCAAGCAAGGCATCGTGCTCGGCGTCCTCGAACCCAGGGACACCGTGCACCATGGGCCCGAGATCAGAAGCCTGGCCGGGTCCGGCAAAGTACCAGGGCGCGTCCACGACGGTGCCGGAACAGTGGCCCATGCCGGGGACGTAAAAGGTGCGGAAGAAGTCGTGGACGGAGATGCCGCGGGGTGCGAGGGTGCGTGTGATTTGTTGGTGCAGGTATTTTAGCATATCCGTGGGGATGTGGCCGTCGCTCATACCGTGGTAGGAGAGGAGTTTGCCGCCGCGGGCAGAAAAGGCGCTGAGGTCGAAGCCGACACTTGCGTGTCCTGGATCCAGGGCATCGGCGTGCCGCGCAGTTTCGTCTGTGAAGTCTTGCCAGGCCCAGTCGGGGCCCAGGCCCATGAAGTATTGCATGTAGTGTGTACCCAGGGTGTTTGGGGCTGAGGAGCCAAGGAGAACGCGGAAGTTTGTTTCGCTGCTGAGGCTGAGGCCTGGCATGAAAAAGGTTTGGTTTTCGCCGGTGTAGGGGGCGTAGATGTTGTCGAGGGTGGTGAGTTGTGGGGAGGTGAGGCAGGTAGATGTGTTTTGGGGATTGGTGGTGGTGCAGAGGAGGGTTTCGGGGCGGAAGATGCAGGTGTGGGGACTGGAGATGATTCCATCAGTTAGACCGTCCTGGGGATCGCACTGCTTGAGGACTTCTGCTTGGATGAGGGGAAAGAGGGAGGGCGGGATGTGGTGGGCTGCTGTGGTGGGGAGGTTGTATGATGCCATCTTCACGCTCCAGGGCTGTAGGTGAGATGTCCACCATGCTGGGGCTGCCGCGATGATGCCGTCAAAGTCCTCGGGGTATAATTCTGCTTCTTTGAGACCCTGGCGGCCGCCGGTGGAACATCCGGCATAGTAGTTGTATGCAATCGTTTGGTTGTAGTATGCCGCTATGATCGATTTTGCAGTTACGGCGGACCCGTGCATGGCAAGATGACCCCAATTCTCTTGCTTGGCGGGTTGTTCGTAGGCCCATAAGCCGTCTACTGAAGAGGAATTGTGGCCGGTGTCTGTGGACATAGTTGCAAGACCGTAGCGGACTCCTGGGCTCTGTTCCATACATTAGGTTGAGCATTGGGGGCATGATAGATAGTCACGTACCATATCAAGCCAATTGATACCACCACCAAATCCACCATTTCCTACCGCGAGAAACCTGCCATTCCAGTCCTCAGGTAGAAAGAGACCGAACCCATACGTCGTGTTCTCAATTGATTGCACCTGTACAGAGACCGCACATGAAGCTGGCAATCCGACAGGGCTCTCGGGATATCCAGTATAGCTCTTCGGTACTTCAAAGGTAGAATTTGCAGATACAACTTGTGCAAAATTTACACTTGCATTGGAGGGAAGAATCGCTTGAATAGCCGAAGACGTGCAGTCCAACGCACTTGCGACTCCGAAGAGCGCTCCAACACCTAGGGCAGGTTCCCAGCGCATGGTCATGCAGGAGATTTGGGAGTGACTCTACAGTTGTGGAGTGGGATTCTGCAAGATATAGTACCAATCTTAACCGGCCAAGAGGAAAATATGCCGAATCGCGAATGACGTAGAAGGGATTGTGTGGAGTATGTATGCACGCTACTATCACTGCTTGAAGACTTACTCGCGTGCCGTGATGGAGAGCCTGGGGTATACCGAAGCTACTGCTACCGTGATTGTTCCGCAGAAGAAGTTAGTGCTGTGAAAGGGCGGGATCTGTGATCTGCATGCTGCGCTTAAATGCCATACACCGTAGTGTTTGTTGATACATTAGTTGATCTTAATCCATCTAGAGTCGTATCTCATCCTCTATCTTGACTCTTCTTTACATTCCCTCGATGTGATGTGCGGGATCTGAGTGGCATTTGGAGCATGCTGAAGTTGATTCTCCATGTGATGGCGACGGAAAGCTAGTTGCTACCGGTAGCGATTCGGGACCTTGTCGTGCCCCATAAAAGTTCGATACGATTTGCGGGGCATGCGTCTTCCTCGGTGAAAGCTTCGGCACCTGCATTTGATCTAGATTCCGAACAAACGCTTGTGTCCTTTTATTCCGCTGTCTGTAATGATTGAGAGGTTGGAAGCCTAGCGGAGCTATTTGTTTGTCCGATTACCCTCTCCTCATCATCTTACCCAAGTTGGGACTAGCCTATCTTTTCATCTGATATGATTCCAACTCTGACCAGACATGCCAATCAATGTCGAATTCTTACGAATATCAAAAATAATTTGTGCCTGCGCACTCAGCTCCGGCCGTCCTGTTACATATCTGCATTGAAGCATGGCTTCTGTGCCAGAGCTGTGACATGGCTGCCATGCCTGAGCTCGATTATCTTGATGACCTCATAACGCCTTATGGACTGTGATCTTGCCATTTCAAAGAGCGCTAGTATCCCGCTTTCCGCTCTGTCCAACCTCATTAGCTGAAGACATCATCTCTTCTGGGTCAATAACATGCAGCCAGAGTCCCCAGACATCCTGGCTATCAGCGAAAAGCGGCATGAGATGATTTTCAGAGCTATCGTAGATATCGAGCTGCAAGGACAAGACCTTACCAATGATCTGTGGCAGAGTTTCTTCGATAGATATCATACGAGATATTTATAACCGGTCGCGAGGTTCATTTACCGAAGCCAAGAATTGCGTCTCACAGCTTACATTCTCGAAATGCAAAACCTCTCGTGGATCTATTCTTTCCATCTCAGCAAGAGTGATAGTGAAGTCAGGTTAGGAGCTCTGCTAAATTCATCACGTCGTGCTTCCCGCCGCATGCCGGCTCACTCTTATTCCTCCCACATTCTTGGTCTGACATCACTTCACTTTAGGAGGCAGCTGCAGACGACATGATCCTCATTTCAAAGCAAACACAGTATCCCAATAAACACAAGGATCTTCTACATCCTGATCCGGCGCTTTCTTTCGTAAGCGTAGCAATCTTCACTGCGACCTTCCCCTTTGTTGAATTACGGGCAATGAACATGGCAAAAGCACTTTGGGGTCACGTAAAGCTACCGATGACAGAGACTTTGAGATCAGAATGCAATCGAACCCTGAAAGAAACCAGGTATGGGCGTTTCACGGCTAACCTGCATGAGAAGGAGAAGAGTATGCGAATGAACTTTGCATGGGGTTGATGCGAAGTTCACTGAAAATGTCAGTGTAGATTTACAGGGCATCATGCAGCGACGTACCACGCTGCAAATATCAACCTAGTTGAGAGAGTAACGGCTTTGTCTGTCATTTTTCCTGTACCGGGGAACCGCTTGAGCTTACGTGTTGACAGGAATGTATGATCAAACTGGCGCATTGTGCAGCCTGTCCACAGTATGCTGATGATCTGACATTCGCAAACTGCGCTCTCAGCACATCATTGTAATCTTTTTCGCTGTTTCGCTGTCTCGCTGTTTCGTATACTAGGTGCGGAGTCATGTCAGCTTCATCACCCGTTGCGACTAAGGACAAACTCAAAGAATGCTCATTGGAAGATAGACATCCAAGATCTTGGATAGGTAACACGCATTACATTGCGACTACTGCATTAGATGACGCCAATCGGCGAGAAATGTGCATCGAGGCAGAGTTTGGCCGAGCTTCAGATGACTACGGTACACAGTAAGCACAGCAAACGATGCCCCCCCAAATAGGTAATTCGAACGAATCCTTCGATATATCGGACTTGCATCTGCCTACAGCTCCACAACTAATAAATTTCTATAAACTCTTCATTAAAAATCGACTTCGATAGTACCAACACCTAATATACACTAGGATCACAGCCGAGGCATCGATCAAATCATTGTTGAGGGGAGATCTACAAGCCGAACATTGATGATCCGAGGCAACAGGTGCTCAAACCTTGAAATACAAATCCATTGCTCATCCGCACATCCGCTTCCGCCCAACAAGACAGATCCAAATCAACCGATCCCGCACAGAAGCTACGTATATTCAACATGGCCTCACCCAAACTCATAGTCCACCATTTGCAAGTCGGTCAAGGCGAACGCATCCCTTGGCTCCTCGAAGAACTCAACCTACCCTACGAACTCAAACTCTACCAACGGGCCCCTCTCCTCGCACCACCAGAGCTGCAAGCCGTATACCCCATTGGTGCATCGCCTGTCCTCGAGGATCTCACTGACCCCTCTCATCCCATCAAATTCGCAGAGTCAGGTGCGATTTGCGAATATGTCATTCACAAGTACGGCAACGGTCGCCTGGCGCTAAAACCAGAGGACAAGAATTATGCGGATTATCTGTACTGGCTACACTTCAGCAATGCGACATTAAATGCTGGTATTTTCCGCCGCGCCATGGCAAGAAATATGGTGGGCGAGGAGGATATGCGATACAAGGGGAATGATGCACGTGTTGTCAATACGCTGGAGCATGTGAATAATCGTCTCAAGGAGAACAAGTGGCTTGCTGGTGAAGAGTTTACGGCAGCGGACATTATGACTGGGTGGTGTTTTACTACTATGCGCAAGTTTGAGCCTATTGATTTAACCCCGTATGATGGTATTATGGCATGGTTGAAGAGGATTGGAGAGAGGAAGGCGTACAGGACTGCGATGGCAAAGAGTGATCCAGATTTGGATATCGAGGCTGGCTTGAGTGTGAAGGGGCCACCGATGCATGAGGTATGGGCGAAGGTAATGGGATCTAAGCCGTGAGTTCCTTGGTGCTAAACTGAGGATCGGCGGCTAATAGATCCAGTAGGAAAGAAAAGTTGTAGAGAGTGTTGTGGTGTTGTGAAGAGTTCATGCTGGATTAGAAAATACTGCAGTTGTTTCAAACCTCTGGTATCTCTGTTCACCACATGTGCTTTGAGATTGTGCCGTTTGTCCGCCACGCAGTATATCTTGCTAACAATCATCTTTCTTACTGTGGCCAGTGTCGAGTGCTTTAGCTCAGGAATGGCGTGTGCAGACGTTGAGACGACCATAGCAGGATTCGCCCCCGCATATGCAGGTAGATCAATAACTGTATCTAGTTCAGTGAGTTTCAATATCTTCAAAGATCATCAATGTGGCCTATCTGGAGCCCGATAATTTTAAATATCCTAGAGAGATTACAGATGTGAGCTACATGATAAAAAAGTCCTTATTCCATATCAAAACTTGGAGTTCTTCCACCAGTTCGTAGTAACGATTCGACTTGATTTAATGAATGGAATCTGGTATGGAAGCTATCGAAAGATGGTAAGATTCTGTCCTGGGGAGAGTTCAAAGTATATGCCTACATTTGCTCAATTGTTAGTAGAGTAGGGCATACAACAGTATAGGTCACACCTTGCAATGGTTACCCATGTAGAAGCCATGCGATGGTGGTGCGAGACTTATAACACGTGGCAATTTGAGGCATCTGAGTTCTTGTAGCATGGAGGACGTTCGCACGAGAGCGATAGGTACCATCGATCGATCGGAACATCTCGGATTCTGCCGACGATGCCGATGAGGCTCTTCCGGATCCGCTTAGGCGCACTCAGGAACGCGCGACACGCCATTCTTCCCACGACACCATGTCCATGTGACCCATCACACCACTTATGTCATCGTGGAAACTCATCGAAATACCACGCCCGTGACCGTACAGATGCCATTGAATGGTAGCATGAGCGTGACCTGAGGAGAGGGAAGCTCACCCCCTGGCGAGCGGGGTTTGCACCACACAGAGACCGTGGTACAGAGCGGGCGGTGCAATGAGATCACATAAAGGTTATTGACCCCTCACGAGGGTATACTTACTCCACAGCTTGTTCCAGCTTTATATCGTGCTCTACAGCTCTGGCTCTCGCACTGCACTCGTTGAACTGCTATATAATTACTCACTCCGCCTACGCACACTCTCATCCTAGCTATAATCATTCAAGATGGCTGCGAAGTACTCCCGCCGGCCGAGTTATCTCGAAGCCCCGTTGTCACCTTCGATCATACCCGACCTGGCGATATTGCCCCGACCCCTCCCAGCTGAGAAGCTGCCGTGCGGCCAGCTGGTGTCCAAGGCATCCAAGTATACACCCAAAGTCCTTGAGGACCGCGACTTCGACGACGTTGGCACACGTTGGTATGTTAACCCTACTACCATAATGCAAATCAGTATAGCTGCTCATTACAAGACTAGGTACAAGGATGTAATCTTCTTCAACGGCTCCACCGGTCACTTCACTGAATCATTCGGTGGAGCTCACCTCGTCCAAAAGCCTCTCGATAAGGACATGGAAGCGGGCACCATTGAAGCCGAGGAGCAACACGTGCGCATGTTGAAAGATGCCAATGCTGCCTTTCAGAAGGTATGGAAGGATGAGGAAGCAAGAAAATGGATACAGTCACAGGACGAAGCTGGCTTCGTAGTGGCACAGCGCGAGGTCGCGAACGCGAGTTACAAGCGTGCAAGACTTGTTGATGCAGGTAATGGTAATTGGGAAGTTATACGTGAACTCCCTATTCAAAGCATTCCCGGGGTCCGAATCCACTTTT